GGCCATAGTCACGGGAGTTCTTCCAGTCTCTGTCAGACCAGTAAGTCTGGTGGTTTTTTTTTGTGAATTTGAATTTTGTTTGACATTTTTCTCCTGCTGTGTCTGGGACCCTTTGTTTCAGATGGGATGGGACCAGTAGATGTGTCTTAGATGGCTACTCAAAAGCTTTTAAGACCCCAGATGAGTAGTACTGGTGTGAGCTCTTCTCTCAATGTTTGGTAGAATTCTCCAGTGAAGCCGTCAGGGCCAGGGCTTATTTTTGTTGGGAGTTTCTTTATATTACTCTTCAGTCTCTTCTCTTGTTACGGGTCTGTTCAGATTTTCTATCTCAGTTTGTGTTAGTTTACATAGGTAGTATGTTTCTGGAAATTTGTCCATTTTGTCTAGGTTCTCAAATTTGTTGGAGTACAATTTTTCATAGTATTCTCTTATGATCCCCTTTGTTTCAGTTGAATCTGTTGTAATGTCCCCCATTGTCTTAAGCTGGGTTCTATAGAGAAGCCAAACCATAAAGTATATAAATATATATACATAGATTTATATCAAGGAAGTAGCTCACGTGGTTGTAGAGGCTGGAACATCCCAAGTCCGTGGGTTAGGGGCTGGCGAACCCAAGATCAGCAGATCAGAGAGCAGGGCTCTTGCTTACAAGTTGTGAAGACCAACGAGTCCCAAGATCAGCAGGCAAGATGGCAGGTAAGCTGCTAGCTGAAGTCCCAAGAACGGGAGATCAGACGAACAGTAGCCAGCGGCAGGATCCAGAGCGAGTAAAAGCCCACGAACCTTGCCAGAAAGTCCACTTATATTCGATGGAGTATATAGTGAGGCCACAGTGAGATTTCTGTGATCTCTAGACTGGTGCTTTTTGTTCAGTCTGTATGCCTGGCATGGCAAATTAACAAAAGGTTGTGGTGAATATAGGGCTCACTCCATCTATTTCCATTTTCTCTGGTATCTTGGTTGCCTTGGTTACTCTCCAATACCTTCAAAGAGCTGGTTTTTCTTTTGTTTTGTCATCTTATTCTTCTTTTATTGTTGTTCTAAGCTAAGCATAGCTGGGAGCAGAAATCTTATTACTTTCTTCTTTTTGGTTTAAGACAGTAAAAGACTTGAACTTGCTTAAATGCCAATTGGAAAAGGGCAGAGAGCAGTTTGTAAAGATTTTCTCGGCAATTTATAGTATCCAGATGTGTCAGTGAGCGTAGTATCCTGGAAGGAGGAATCATTTTCAAATTTTCAATAGTGGTTTCGTGTGTGTGTCTGTGTGTGTGTGTGTGCGCGTGTCTTCCATAGTTAACAAGCACATGGAGGCACAAATGGCTTGTCTTTGTATTAGTTTCCTAGTGCTCCCATAACAACAAAATTGATTCTCTCACAGTTCTAGAGGCTAAAAGTCCAAATTCAGGGTGCGGCAGGGTCACCCTCTCTCTGACGGCTCTAGGGGAAGGTCTTCCTTGTCTCTTTCAGTTTCTGGTATCCCCAAGCATTTCTTGGCTTGTGGCAGCAGCATAACACCAATCCCTGCCTCTGTCTTCACATGACTGTCTTCTCTTTCCATCTCTCTGTCTGTGTCTTCTCCTTTTTTAATATAAGGATTCCAGTCTAGTTGGATTTGGGCCTGCCCTGCTCCACTACGATCTCATGTTAGCTAATTACATCGGCAAAGACCCTGTTTCCAAATAAGGTCACATGCGCAGCTACCAGCTACATATATTTTTTGGTGACACAAATAAACCTGTAACAATCTTCCATTAATTAATTTATTTTCTTAAGCAATTTGATGTATACAGGGCAGTTTCCAATTATACCTTTCAGACCAACTGCAACTTATTTTCTATTGTCTTGGAAACAGTAATTTAGAGTGGCCCAGGGCTAACACATATTGGATCTCCTCTGCTGGTAACATCCAGCATCAAGTGATCCTTGATAACTGTCAAACTGCCTTTCATGCCTTCCTTAGCAGATTTCAGAAAGTCTATCAAGAGTATATCAATCCTGTTCTACAAAATTATATTGTGAAGATTTATAATATTGACAATTATGTATTAATTTAATTTTACTAAGAGGATTATATGAACTAATAGAAACTTTAATGAAAACTTTAAGGAAAAATGGTCTAGAGCTGAGAAGGGACTGAAGGGACCATTTTGGTTGTTGTTAGCTGCAGTCAGTCGATCTCCGACTCATGGTGACCTCATGCACAAGGGAACTAAACTCTGCCGGGTCCTGAACCATCCCTGTGGTCAATTGTACAGGAGACCATTGTGATCCATAGAGTTTTCATTGTCTGATTATTGGATGTAGATAGCCAGGCCTTTCTTCCTAATTTGTCTTAGTGTAGAAGCTCTGCTGAAACCTGTTCAACATCATAGCAACACTCCAGCCTCCACTGACAGATGATGGCTGTGTATGAGGTGCATTGGCTGGGAATCAAACACTCCCGCGTGGAAGGCAAGAATTCTACCACTGAACCACCACTGCCCCCTCAAAAAGGGACATACTGTGGCTAATGGATCCTTGCTTTCCCTTTCCCCACTACCTGCCTCTTCCTTATAATATATTATAATATATGCCAAATCAAGTAAGGGTATGTACTTGGGAACCCCCCAAAGAATGTAAATATTCATCAGTAGATTTCACAAACTAAGAATTGTTATTGTATAGTCAAATTTATTTCAAAATAAAAATAAATGTGACTGACCATTGTCAATTTAAGAGAAGTTAGAGATTTTGAAACTCAGAACATTTAAGAATTAAGGGACTTCTCAGAGACAGAGCAGCCACTTTGCTTAACATGATTTACAGCTAGTGTGGAGGAGAGCAAGTGTGGTAAAAACTGTGGCACCTGGTTTGATGAGGTTTGTCTGCCATACTGCCTGGTCCCGATATCATTTCCTCAAAGGTGGGGTTCTGTAATAGTGTTAGACTTACGAACGAGATGAAAAATTTCATTTTATTATGTTTAATAGTTTATATGCATGTGTATATGTGTCTGTGTGTGCACGTGTGTGTATCTGTGTGTGCTTGTGCAAGTGTGTGTGTGTACTGGTGTGTGTGTGTGTGTGTGTGTGTACCTAGCTCTTTCTGCTGAGACAGCCTAGACACAATGACATGCCAGTAGCAGTGAGCACACTTAGCATGCATATTTTGTTTTCTACATACCATTCCCACCACAGGGGACAGGTCTTTGGAAAATGCCCACTTCCAGCTTAGAGGCAGAGAAAGTACAAGATGAGCCTGGAACATCTTATACTAGAAAGGAAATGAGTGTTCAAATAAGATTGGAGCTTGTGAAGAAGATGAGGAATCAGCTTGAAGTGTCTCCCATTGACCAATTGAGCATTGAAATAAACAATGGCAGTAATAAAATAAAATAGGAACCTACAAGTACATACTGATATAAACAAATTAACGAATCAATAATGAGTGACAGAAAAGGAAAAGCTGTTCCTTACAGTGAATGCCAATTAATAAGTGTAGAAGGAACGATGGAGTTAAAGCCCTGTTTTGTAAGCGTCATAATGACATATAATTCAGGTAAGAATGGCCAATGGATGAAAGTCTGACAAGAGACCAGATGTGCACTTAGTTTTGCAATATCTTTCCACAAAATTGCTTGTTATTTATTTACAAATGGAAAAAGTGAATTTACAGTGGAGAAACCTATTGAGCACCACCTTAACCAAATGATCAGAGTTAGTATCCCCAGCAATGGGAGAAACTAACTAAATCATATGACCCTGACCAGGTGCACTGAGAAGGACACAACACCAGTTTTAGAGCATTTCCCTCAAAACTGTTTAATGTGACTCTAATCAAGTGGAAATGTCAGATTAACCCAAATTAAAAATAATTACTCTGTATTCTTCAGAAGTGTCAAGGCTATAACAGACAAAGACAGACGGAGGAACATTTCCAGATTCTAGGCTATGTCAACCAGATGCAATGAGTGATCCTAGATTAGATCCTAAAGCTGGGAAAAAATCATTATGAAAGACATTATTGGAACAATTAACAAAATTTGAATATGGACTGTGGTTTAGTTGATAGTGTTGTATCAATGTTAAATTCCCAGGTTTTTAATCACTGTAATGTGGTTACATAAGAGATGTCCTTGTTCTTAAGTATTTAAAGGTAATGGAGTATAGTGTCTGCAACTTATTTTCAAATTGTTTAGAAAAAACAAATATACAAATGTGAAGCGATTCAAAAAGAAAGTAAATGGGACAAAATGTTAAAAATGATGAATCTGATAAAGGATATACAGAAGCTCTTTTCACTCTTCTTATAGCTTCTCTGTGAGTTTGAAATTATAACAGAATTATTGTTAGTTGTGCTCGCGTTGTCTCCATCTCATGGCGACCTTATGTATAACAGTATGAAACACTGCCCAGTCCTGCGCCATCTTCATGATCTTTGGTGTATTTGAACCCATTATTGCAGCTACCATGTCAATCCATTTCATGAAGAGTCTCCTTCGTTTTTACTAACCCTCTACTTTACCAAACATAATGTCCTTTTCTAGCAATTGGTCTTTCCTTTTTCTTCATCCTTGCTTCTGAGGACTATTCTGGCTGTACTTCCTCCAAAACCAAACAAACAGAAAAAAAAATAACAATTCCTGCTTATCCAAAAAACATATATAGCTGAAAGTTCACTATGAAACTTCATAATTCAAATGCTTTAAAGGTTGTCACCAAAATGCCGCTTACCAATTCTTCCCATCTTACAATCTAGGGTAGGATTCCTCCTTTCCTACAAGGCCAAAGGTTATTGTAGATTGGTGTTCATCAACCCTGCCCAGTTGAATCTTTATGTTTAACTGTCACTTGGGCCAATCTTTGGAATCCTGAAGCAGGAATCTTGTAGCCTCCACAGAGCAGCAGTTGGCTCATTTTGACTGTTGGAGTACTAGGAAATATACTTTCAGTCTTCTGTCCTCTGCCAAGACGTTTTTACATTTCTCCAGGAGGTGAAACCCTTGGAGTGTTCATGTCACCATGAGCAAAGAGAGAGCTTCTTTATTTCATAGGTTGAACGATTATAAACCCCTGCGGAATACCTCAGGAAGGTATGTACGTCTCACATCCTCAGTTCTTACCTTATTTATGGACCAATAATAACTCAGTGACACTTTTTTTTTTTTTTAAATAGTGGTGGTGCAGTGGTTAAGAACTTGGCTGCTAACCAAAAGGCCGGCAGTTCGAATCCACCGGCTGCTCCTTGGAAACCCTATGGGGCAGTTCTTCTCTGTCCTATAGGGTTGCTATAAGTGAGAATCGACTTGACAGCAAAGGGTTTGGTTTTGGTTTTTTATAGATATATACCAGGAGGATTTTTTTCCTGTCTTATTGCAATACTAACCATAATAACTAGGATCACATGTAGAAGTTTGCAACATAAAATCCAATCAGATTTATTAAATAGCAAAAGAGCCAAATGCATGCACAGCCACATCCCGTTTCGTAGAATGTTTTAAGGGCCAAGCAATATTTGTAGCCTATTGTCCGTATGTATCTAACAACCCCAAAATAAACAGTTGCTCTGCCAGTTCTTCTCAGCACATTTTTATGTTTATGAAGTATCGGAGCAATCCAGAAAAGCCTCAATATTTATTTCGTATAAAGGATTTTGGCAGATAAGACCAGCTAAAGATTCTGGTCTTTGGATGTGATCCATGGTTTTATTGCTTTAGCCTATCAGTGTGATGGCACAAATACCTAGTTTCTTAAAATGTATGTAAAATATAATGCCTTTGTGATACTGTTACATAGATCAAGTTTTACAATGGACGTGAATAAGGAATGTTTCTCATCAGTCAATAAATGACATTAGAGATGATTAGCAAATAAAAAGGAGAGCATGTATTCCAACCCAAATATTATGGATAAAGAACTACAGTGTAAATGAATATCATGTGCATATTCATATGTTTTAAAATAGGCATTTTAGAACATTGTTTGAAATTAACAAACACGACCAGGTGAGATAATGCAAAATCAATCAGAAATGATCATCGCTATACCTGCAGTACTCACACATACTCAGAAAATCACTAAACTATTATTATTAGTTTTCTAAGATCAGCTTTGGAGAATTTATTGCATCTGGAAATCCAATGGCATTCCCACATAGAAACTTCCATGGGTGAGAGTTTCTAATGGGAAAGAGAAAAGAAGGTGTTACAGTTTTCTACACTGAAAAATTAATTACCTTTTAGTCTTCATTTGATATGATGTTGAGAATATTGACTCATTCTGGTAACAGTTTCCCATACAGTTTAACAATTTGCATTATTAATACAAGGGGATTTTCAGCATGCTGTTATTTTTATATGAAATTAAGCACCTTTCTATTTTTACCTAGAAGTTAATAGTTTATGTTTCCTTGTATTGTGATATTAACACTCTTGAGGTCAGTGTCTTTTGCAGTACAGTTTTCCTAATGAGTTATTGCTTAACCAACTAGAATCAGTTAAATGCCAATGTATTTTATAGACATTCTGCCACGATCGCCTTTAACCAATTAATGCAAGTAATATGCTATTATATTATGCCCATAAATATAGTCAATATAGCCGTGCAGATTAGTCTATATAAATTATATTATTATCACTGACTATTGGTAGGTTTTGGTGTATACTCATTACCGTCAATTTGCTTCTGACTCATAGCGACCCTAAAGGACAGAGTAGAACTGCACCATAGGGTTTCCAAGGAGTGGCTGGTGGATTCGAACTGCTGACCTTTTGGTTAGCAGCTGAGCTCTTAACCACTGTGCCACCAGGGTTCCTTTGGTATATAGTTAAGCTTATTAATTTCTTAAGAAAAAAATCCATTTTAATAAACTTCTTTCCATGTTTGAAGTCCGCAATATGTAGGACTCTGGTTAAAGGATGAGCTCATGTTTGGTGTCAGAAAATCTTGACAGTGCTTTGTGGAAATGTTTACTTTTTATTTTATTTTTTAATTTTATGGCATAATTTGTATATGAGTCAATAGTATAAATATAACCATCCAACAAGATCCTAGAAGTAACTGTAACATAATTTATTGATTTATTACTTTAAATTTTATTTTATTTTTGGTGAAAATATACACATCAAAGCAGGTTCCCATTCAGCAATTTCTATGTACAACGTTTAGTGACATTGTTCCATTCTTCACGTTGTGTCAACGTTCTCGATATTTCTCCCGTAATTGTTTCACCCCATCAGTTTAGACTCATTGCCCTCTAAACTTCTCTTCTATGCTTTAGAGTTACTCTTGTCCCTTTAGTATCATATAGATAATTCTTTAAATTATTCATTGTTTTGAAGAATTTATATATTTATTCTTAAAAGGAAAATAAAAGTTATATAAAGACAGACTGAGAAACGTTCCCAGATTCTGTGATATGTCAACTAGGTGCAATGAGTGATCCTAGATTAGATCCTAAAGCTGGAAAAAGTCGTTATGAAGGACATTGTTGGAACAAATGACAGAATTTGCCTATGGACTGTGATTTAGTTAATAGTGTTGTATCGATGTTCAATTTCCAGGCTTTTATTACTCTACTGTGGTTATGTAGGAGATGGCCTTGTTCTTAAGTATTCAAGGGTAATGGGGCATAGTGTCTGCAATTTATTTTCAAATTGTTTAGAAAAAGCATATAAATATACATATATGGAGAGAGAAAGATAAAGAAATTGGGGTAAAATGTTAAAATTGGTGACTGATAAAGGATATAAGGAAACTCTTTGCACTATTCTTACAGCTTTTCTGTAAGTTTGAAATTATAACAAAATTGTTGTTGCTAGTTGTCATCGAGTTGGGTCCAACTCATGGCGACCTTATGAAACACTGCCCGGTTCTGCACCGTCTTTGGTATATTTGAACCCACTGTTGGCAGCCACCATGTCCATCTATCTCCTGGAGGGTTTCCTTTATTTTTGCTGACTGTCTGCTTTACGAAACATGTCCTCGTCTAGTGGTTCATCTTTCGTTTCTCTTCACCCTTGCTTCTAAGGAACATCCTGGCTGTACTTCTTCCAAAACTCATGGAAATACCTCTATGAAACAAAACAAACAGAAAAAAAAAATCTGTTAACAACTCCTGCTTATCCAAAAAATACATATAGCTGAAATTTCACTGTGAAAGTTGGTCATTCAAATACTTTAAATGATCAAGTACCAAAATGGCTCTTTTAAATGTTGTCACCAAAATGCTGCTTACCAATTCCTTCCATCTTACAGTCCAGGGTAGAATTTCCTCCTTTCCCACAAAGCCAGGTTATTATAGATTTGTATTCATCAACCCTGTCCAACTGAGTCCTTACATTTAACTGTCACTTGAGCCAGAGCCATCCTTGGAATCCTGGAACAGGAATCTTCCTGTCTTTGCCTAACGCCAACAGCTCCTTTTGACTGTTGGAGTCCTAGGAAATAATACTTTCAGTCTTCTCTGCCAAGATGTTTTTACATTTCTCTAGGAGGCAAAACCCTTGGAGTGTTCATGTCACCATGAGCAAAAAGAAAATTTCCTTATTTTGTAGGTTGAACTATTAGTAACCCCTGCAGAATACCTCAGGAAGGTACGTAAAACTCACGGCCTCAGTTCTTTCCCTGTTCATTGACCAATAATAGCTCAGTAGAGATTTTTGTTTTTGATAAAGAAATAATGCCTGTAATTACAACTGGTTTTCAGGGCTTCTGTATTCAAATGAATGTTTATTTTTATTAGATACATTTTTATTTTCTTCTAAAAATTAGAAAAGGAAACGGAGCTTTGAAATACAGGTAGCACTATGTTTAAAACACGTCATAGTTTTTTAAATCATGACATCAAGAAATTAACTGGGTTTGTAATTCCTAAACATTCTTCAATTCATTTTCCTGATATATCAATTCTAAGGTTTTGACTAAGACTGAAAACCATCACGCTTTCTGTAACTAACTCTTTTTTGTTGTGATTTTAATAACATAACAAAAAGACTCTTTTTCTGTGCTCACAATGTATCATGCAACAGATGCGTTATATGTGTTACATGTGTATACACACAGACACACACACATATGTACATATATATATACACATACATACATAGATACATTTTTGCTCTAACTATTCTGCCAGGAAAATGTGTATGAATAGCCTCATGTCATACCTTCGTTAAGAACTTTTTTTTTCACATGTCTAGGCTCACACAGAGCCCAGGTGGCACAGTGGTTCCAAAAGGTAGCCAGTTCGAATCCATTAGCTGCTCCTTGGAAACCCTATGGGGCAGTTCTGCCCTGTCCTATAGGGTCACTATGAGTCAGAATCAACTCAATGGCAACAGGTTTGGTTTTTTTTATACTTATAACTGGGTTTCAGGGCTTTTGCATTCAAATGAATTTTTATTAAATAAATTTCTATTCTCTTTAAAAAATTATAACAGGAAATGGTGCTTTGAAATACAGGTAGTACTATGTTTAAAACACATCATATGTTTTTAAATCATGAAAATAATAAATTAGGAAATTAACTGGGTTTATAATTCCTAAACATTCTTCAATTCATTTTCCTGATTTATCCATTTTGAGGTTTTGACTGAGACTTAAAACTATGACACTTTCTGTAACTAACTCTTTTTTTGTGTTTTTTTTCTCTTTTTATTGTTGTAGTTTAAATGAAGTTTACATTTCAAGTTAGTCTCCCATACAAAATCTTCTACATTCATTGTTATGTGACCCTAATTGCTCACCACATTCTGTGACAGCACACTCCTCCTTTCCACCCTTGATTCCCCATGTCCATTCAACCACTTCCTAACCCTCTCTGCCTTCCCATCTCACTTCCGGACAGAAGCTGCTCCTTTGGTCTCTTGTATCTACTTGAGCTAAGAGGCACACGCCTCACGAGTGTCACTTTATGTCCCACAGTCCAGTCCAATCTCTGTCTGAAGAGTTGGCCTCAGAAATTGTTTTATTTCTGGGCTGATAGAGAATCTGGGGGCCATGCTTTCTGGGGTTCCTCCATTCTCAGTCAGACCATTAGGTCTGGTCTTCTTACTACAATTTGGGTTCTGCACCCCATCTTTCTGCTGCTCCGTCAGGGACTCTGTGTTGTGTTCCCTATCAGGGCGGTCATTGGTGGTGTTTTTAATAATACATAACAAAGAGAACTCTTTTTGTGTGCTCACAATGTATCAGGCAACAGATCCTTTATACATATATGTATAAATATGTATGTACATATTTGCATTTAAACATATACATATAATACAGATATAGATGCACCACATTTTTACACAAATAACGTGTGTCCTCTGCGTTTATTTGCTGGCAGTGCCCTCCCCCTGTGAGGTATTTTTGTGAGCGCACTGTGCCAATTTTTTTTTATAGCAACACGTGGAAGAGGATTGACACGGTGGTACCTGTGAGGGTGCCTCATGGAGGAAGGTGCTGCTGGCAAACAAATGCAGAGGGTGCACGTTATTTGCATAAAAATAGGTAGCTATAGATATGAACATAGACATAGACATAGGTACAGACCTAGAGACATATTTTGGCTCTTTCTAACTACTCTGCCAGGAGAATATGTATTAGTATCCCCACTTCATACCTTCAGTTCAGGGATTTTTTTAAACATGTCTAGGCCCGCACAACTCTTAGGAGTTAAGCCCGAACTGGTTCCCAGGACTAGGCGATCCCAATGCCTGTGCCGTTTTCACTGGGCTATGGTTCTTCCCCGCACATATGTCAGTTGCTATTTGTCTTGTCTAATCTCTTGTCATTGTGATTTGGTCATAGCCAGCTATTTCCTTTTTAACTGTAGTAAAAAGATATATATAACAATACATTTGCAATTTCCACATTTTTCACATGTACAATTCAGTAGCATTAATTTTGTTCATCGTGTTGTGCAACCATCAGTTATTTCCTTTTAAATCCTGTAAGAATTTGTTCAAAGCATTGGACCCCAGTTTGCTTCTTTGATTATTAACATACAGGAAATCCCATACTAGAAAGTATTTCTTCTCCTGAAAGCCCATCATATCATGT